CCTCTCCATCTCCCACATCCTTAAAAAAACCCATTTGTGAGAGCAGGAGCTGAGTGAACTTGGCCCCAGCTCGCAGCCAGTGCAGGAGAGCATTGCCAAACAGGGAGAGAAGTGCATCTGACTCTCCTGCTAAGGCGTCCAAGGAGGGCCACAAAATTATAGCTCCAACTATAAACAGAATGAGTACATTTTGTTCATTTTCCTGTTCTCTGCCTAATCGATGCAATATGAAGAGCTGCTATCAGTGCAGCGTTATACAATCAGATGGCAGCAATAAAAGGAGCGTTAGCAAGTCTGGGCTATCATGGGAGGTTGACTGCAGGAAGCAGTTATAAAACAAGACCGTTTAGATCTGCTTAGATGAGAGCATCAGATTCGTGACAAAGTCATTCTGATGTCTGCCTGCCCACTTCATACTCAGCTAATGGACATCTGCATGGAGATTTACAGGGGCTGCCTGGCCCAGGAGCAGTGCTGAGGGTTGTGGGCTCTTTGTGCACCTTAAATAAGATGTGTCTTGCATCCAGCAATAAAATCTCCATATATCCATGAGTTCATGTTATCTGCACAATATATCATGCACAGAACTGGGTAATTGTTGTCTGGTTTATTGTTTCCTTGTTCTCTGCAACTCCTGGAAGGTTTTATTGTGGTTTTAGCACAAATCAGAGTGCAGGCTCACAGACTTGCAAGTCTGTGGCATGTGGAACGCACTAGGAACACTGTAGAGGGATAAAGCACAAGCTGGGCACCTCCAGCAGCTGTCAGCAAGGAGCTTTTGCTGGAAAGTCTTTTGTTCTTTAGTAGCTGAGAAGTTCCTGGTTCTCTGATGCTCCTCAGACTGGTTTTCTTCTCTTCCAACCACCTTTTCTCTGGTATCTGCACAAGGCACTTGGAAAACACAGGGACTATCAAAACTAAGAGCTGTAAGGCTTTAAAAACAAACAGACATTTCACCTGTCTCCAATCAGCCCCTTCTCAGGGCTTGGCTTTGATTTCCCCAGTGCAGACAAGAAACGGAGAGGATTTTAATTTCCTTGGCTCCCCAGAGCAGCATGAATGAGGCTGCAGCCTTGCACTGGCCTTGTGTTATTAATGGGCTCCATGCTTGCAAATGTCTCATTCAATATATTTGCTCCAAGTGCTTCCAAAAAAAGGGGGGAAAAAAAGAAGAAAGCAAACCTCAGGTTTCTGGGCCTAATGTATGTGACCTGACAGCATGAATACATTAGATCTTCCCCAGAAACACACAATTCCAGACTGTGCACTGCATCTCCAGCCTTTTTATCTTCATCTGGGCTCTAATCAATGTGCTGGCAACGAGCCCTATTTTCCTGCCAGTCTGGCTCAGGCTTTGTCTCCCTCTGACAGGGAATGACATTCCTGCTTCCAGAGCGCCTGCGAGCTGGGAATGTGTCTGAGCTCCCTGCTCAGGCATCCCCAGCATCTTTCCAGCAGGGCTGATTGCTTTTCTGCCCAGTTTCTTGGCCCCTCTGTGCCAGAGCCAAGGCTGCCCCAGCCCTGTGCAGGAGCTGTGGCTCTGCTGAGGGCTCTGAGGATCTCATCCATCATTCCCCAGTCCTAAAGAAGGGCCTGAAATCCAAACCCAAAACCTAGAAGCTCTCACTTGTCTTCTTAAACTCCAGGCAGGTGATGGCATTTCCCCACTCTGTGTCTGATTTTCCCTTCCCAAGCTCTGGTTATCTGCAAGCCTTTCAGTTCCTAAAAGGAAGAGCTGGTTTATGTTATGGGCCTGGACAGTGTCTAACCCAGGAGGGCCCCACTTTGATTAGGGTCCCTTGTGACCACCGTAATAAAAGCACCGCTAATAAAATGCATTTGAATCAGAAAAAAAAGGCAGTGATGCTCCTTTTCCAGTTAGCTCCTAACTTGGGGAAGCCTGGGAGAGGTGGGATTTTCAGCCAGAGGTGAGGTGGCCTGACCTGACCCAGCCCAAGCCTTTGAGCTGTCCTTGCAGTGCTGCAAGCTGAGCTTAGCCAGAGCTGTGCTCATCTGTGCAAAGCCTTCTGTGCACATCCAAGCGTGCCACATATTTGCCTTCCCAAAGCTGGACCTGCTTCTGCTAACAGCAATTAATCACTTTACAGCCAGTCTTTTATTATTATGAACGCAGCAGATGTGTTTCCATTAATAGGTTCCCGAGTGAGCCTTATCCAGCATCACTGATACTTTAATGAAGGAGATTATGTGGCCTAAACAGACTTTTCATTTGCAGCATCCTCCCATTTCTATCTGCACTTCCCAGTGAGCAAACAAACCCGAGTGGGAATCTTGTTTCGGGCTCAGTTTCAGCGCAGAAGATAAACTTGCTGCCGAATAATAAAATGTGTCCCCTGGTTTAATGTGATTTGTAAGAGTTAAACATTGCCCTGCTGGTTTGCAGGGCTCTGAAACCAAACCTCAACCCGAGCACGGAGATGTCTGCACCCTGCTGTGGGGACTCCGAGCTCTCTGCTGCCCCAATTAACCCCAAAATCTGAGCCAGGAGAGGGCAGGCACTCGGCTCCCCAGAGATGTGTCTGCCTCCACAATATGGGAATTTTTCAAGCGTGCTGGTTGCCATTAAAAACTCATCACTTCTGACAGTGGCTCAGACCTAGGAAGTCTTTGGGTGCTTATAAAATAGTCTTTAATTAATGACAGCAATCATGAGGGTCACCAAGCAGTGCCATGGGAGGTTTCTCAAGCCAAGAGGAGGTTTTATGTTTTCCAGTGTTTTTCCTTTACAAGGTCAGACTCTGCAATTGCTTTTACTCCCCTAAAGCATTTCTAGAACCAGATCCCTTTGCCCCACATGGCTTCTTCACCCATTTTCTGCTCAGCATGCTCTTTAATTTATTGAATTTTCATCTTTAACTTGGATACTAAAAGCAGAAATAAAGAGGCTACACTTCTCCTTAGTAAATAGAGGAGGCAGTCCCTAGTGCAACACAGACAGAAAAAATCCTGTGCATTTCAAACAAGTGCTCTGGGATTCCTAAGGAGCACCTCCATTGTATAAATGTATCGTTTTAAAATCCAGAAGGATCATGAGATAAATTCTGTAGGTCTGCC